CACACCTACACCTAAATTGTTTCATAATGTAGGTGCAAAATACCATTTTTTTTAGTCTTCCACTGCTGGAAACATGTTTTTTAACAGAAAAAAAAACAAAAAACAAAACAACAACAACAACAAACAAAACAAAACAAAACAAAACAAAACAAAACAAAAAACAGACAAGTATCACAATAGTTTTAAATCATCTATAATCTCACAATTTTTATTATTTTCCATCAATGTTATCTGTGGCCCTTCCTTGCTTAAAGCCTTTTTCAAGCACAGACTATTGCCCTGTAAGCCAGCTTTTTTTTGTCTTATTTAGTCAGTGGCTATGAGAACTTAAGCAGAAAGTATCTTTACCATGTGACTTACTGCTGAATGGAGATTTTCACCTAAAGAGTTCAGCACTCCCAAAATTAGCACTTCTTGATAGCTGGAGCAACTTGCACCAGCATCCTCGTCTTATTTTTGAGACAATGGAAAGGAAATAATACATCCTTTTAAAAGAGACAGAAATAACTTAAGATGTATTGAAAAGATTTGCCTTTATCATGGACTGCAAGCTGTTCTCTTGCAGGCAGAGGACTTCTCTTTCCTAGATACATAGACGTTTTGAAATCTACTGCCCCAGATCTCTGGGCTTCTTGCTAAGATTCTTTAAGCAGTCAGTGAGCTTGTCTTCACGGTTATTTCTTCACTTACTGTAGGTTTGGTTCCAGAACAGAAGAGCAAAATGGAGGAAAAGAGAACGCTATGGCCAGATCCAGCAAGCTAAGAGCCATTTTGCTGCTACCTATGACATATCTGTTCTTCCCAGGACTGACAGCTACCCTCAGGTATGGTAAATACCAAGGTCTTCACTTCTGGTTTACCTCCTCTTCCATTCCCAGGCATACACTTGTATAGAAGATGCACGAAGACCTTACTGTGATTAGCTTTCTTTGCTCTTTATATATTTCTTCATAAATTTATAAATTTAATAAAGGTGAAAAACACTATTGCTACAGGAGCTGCAATGGTGGACAACAGTTGGAGCAGAATACAAGTATTTATTTAAAGAATTATTTTATGAGCTGCAGAGCTTTACATAAGTTATGACAGTTCAACTGTACCCAAATAATTGGTGATATGGTTATGCAACTTATGTTTTTGTGCACGTAAATTTATGTGAAGATTTGAATCACTTACAGGTCAGTACACACATTTTGAATGAAGGTTATACCCATTGAGATTGACAAGAATACTGCCATTTTGACCTCAGTAAGGTCAGGATTTCACTTCTGGGGTGGATACAGTCACAGGCACGACTGTCTTGACCACTCTGGTCTTGAATGTTTTGCTAAGATGAGGCATAAACTACATAATTTCTCTGCAACTTGCTTCTGAAGCCCCAGCTTCAGAACATTCCTTTCTGGATCTGAATAGACTATTGAATTCAATGAGTCTTCTGCATAATGTCATGAAGCCATTTTATAGTCACCTACAATCAGGCTGTGAGGGAGATGTGGAGAGAAAATACAGCTTTCCTGAATGATACTAATTTTTTCTTTTTCTTTCTCTTTTTCTTTTTCTTTCTCTTTTTCTT